GATGGCCACATAGACAGGAAAGTTTGGTTTTTTTTCTTGCAAGATACTAGCATGTGTTTTGAGAAAATGAAGCAAGAGCCTTTCAAGTCAGGAATTAGACATTCTAGAAGCAGATGCTTAATATTTTGAGAGCAGGTATATGGCAACACTTGATGCGTTTTTCCACACAGGAAGACTTGGTGCTTTAGCTCTGAAGAGGAGTTTTCTGTTTATTGCACCATTTAATGCCACTTTGACAAAGAACACTTGAACACTTGATTCATTTGGTACTGAATTTCCTTGGCATTTCATAAATACTATAAATTAGAAATATGAAGTAAATGCTGGCTAAGAACTGAAACTATACCAGACATTGTCAGGCTTGAGACTGGGGGCAGTATAGCTATCCAATTGCCTTAAGGCCTGTGCTGCATTTAAATTGCCTAATGTTTAAGTGCTTGCAAATGTAGGATGAAGGTGCTGTACAAATGCAAAGTATAGATGGAAACCAAAGGACAAGCTTTATTTTTAACCTGCCTTATCTTGTATTCTGCCTTATGTCTTGCTTCAAATTGCTTTGCTATTTGCACTTCCCTTGAAACTTCCCTTGCTTATTTCTCTTCCCTCAGGTGTCTCTTCTCCTTCCCTTCTAACTGGCAGCAGTCCCCTTCACCTGAGAAGTGGGCTTTAGATCTGCTCTGCCAGGCAGCTTGCTAACTTCTGTGTAGCTCTCTAAAGCAGGTAGATACCATCTTGCAAAACGCACGCTGCACTTGCTGCATTCCAAGTAATAGATGCATGTCATAGAACTGTAACAGATGTGTGGTCCCAAACTGCAAAACACCGATAAACTTGCTGCCTTCAAGCACACAGGAGCAGAAAACTAACAACTGCAGTGGCTGATACTTGCTGGTACTACAGATGAACTAAACTTCTGAAGTATGTTAGGAATCCTCTGTAATGGAAGAGCTTGAGGGACAAGAGAACTTGTGGAATTTTTGCACTAGGACATGTAAAACTGGGTCTGGCTCTTGGCAGGTGCCACTGATGGGCTGGCAAAGAGAAGTCCCCTTCTGAAGCCAGAGAGCTTTTTTTTTTTTTTTTTACCAAAGGCACTGCTTGCTTTGCTCTCTTGCCCGCAGTAGTAGCGTAGGACTGTTTGCAAGGAGACAAACCACACTCTGATGTTCTGGCTCCAGGCTGTAGTGTGAGAAGAGAGGGTGGGGCACGAAGGGATAGTAAATTTGGGAGAACTTGGTGAGGATGACTTAAGGGGGGAGAGTAAAGGACCCAGCAGAACTTCCCGTGTTGAAGATTAGCAGTGTAGGCTGAAGGTCTAATACCAAGTTGATCACTGTATTGATGCAGGAACATGTTGCGGGTTGGCAGTTTTTTACGGTCGTTAATCTGATAAGAGTTGCTGTTGAAACACCTCATGCTGCAACATAAGTTTTATTGTACTTGTTGAAAGTTTCTATATGACTAAATTTTAAACTCCAAGCTTTGAGGGAGAGGGGCTTTGTCTGCAGTGCAAAACTGACTGCCCTTACAGTAATCGACAGAGATCTATTAATGGTAAGGAGTTCCGTATCTCCAATACAGTTTGTGTATCCCAAGAATTGCTGTTACTTTTTCTAACTGAAGGCACGAAGAGCTGCCTAGACAAGTGTAAGGCAGTTCTGCTTGTTCACGGGGCAGTGCATTGAGCTTCCTTTAAATATGCAGCTGGGAGAACCTTTGCAACACTGAAAGCATAAATGTGGAGCCCAGTAGTGGAATGCATGCCTGAAGTCACTTCACTTCTGCAGCAGGTCCTTTCCTTAGCAAAGGAAGGCCACCCCCTCTTTACTGCCACTTCCATGGTGGAAGGTGAGATGGATAATGCTGGTTGGTTGGGGTTCTTTTGTAACTTACTTGGCACATCAGAATAAAAAATGCTGAACAAGTCTGAGAATGGCCTCCACAAGCTACTCCACTTAGTGGACTAAGATGCCTTAATTCCTAGTGTTCCTAGATTCCAAAGAACCTAAACAAAAACTCTTAAATGTTCTTGTTTAAGGTGTCTGGTTGACTTAGATGATGTATTTGAGTGTTACCAGAGGGAATAAAGCTGTTCAGTCGCTCTTTAAAATCAAAACTAATCACCAATATTCTGTTTTCTTCCCGGAAGGCCCTGGAGTTGCTGGTTACCTTACTGCAGGGACGACATCATCCGTAATGCCCAACGTACCACCCCCGGTAGACAACGAAGTGGGAGATGTCAGCTAAGGACTGGAAATCCTTGTGAAAGAGACAAAGGCAGACTGGCCAGTGATGAGGAACAGCACTTTCCTCCAGCACATTGAAGTGAACTTACTGCCTTTCCAAGTGTTTAATGACAGTGTTATTCCTTTTTCTATGACTGTTTATCATCCGTAATGCCCAACGTACCACCCCCGGTAGACAACGAAGTGGGAGATGTCAGCTAAGGACTGGAAATCCTTGTGAAAGAGACAAAGGCAGACTGGCCAGTGATGAGGAACAGCACTTTCCTCCAGCACATTGAAGTGAACTTACTGCCTTTCCAAGTGTTTAATGACAGTGTTATTCCTTTTTCTATGACTGTTTGGTGGTTTTTTGGTTGTTTTTTTTTTTTTAGGAAAAAGGCAGGGGCTAACTATCACACACTGTAACACAAGAAAGCACTCTGTGGATCAGCTGAAATGGGTACACAAGAATTTTTTTCTTTTTTGGTTGTTTTTTTTTTTTTAGGAAAAAGTCAGTGATTCTAACTATCACACTGTAACACAAGAAAGCACTCTGTGGATCAGCTGAAATGGGTACACAAGAATTTTTTTCTTGTTGTACGTAAGCACATTTTGTTCCTTTATATTTGTTTACAAGACTGTGAATCAAACTTTCCTAGTTTTTATATTTTATGAATTAGCATGACTGGAGTTGAGCTACAGTCTAGAGGAATTGGGCTAAAATCACTTTGACCTCACTGACCCCCCCTAAAAGGGCATCTCTTCTTTTCCCAGTCTGATGTGATCACTCCCATTGAACATGACTTGCAAAGGGTTTGTCCCTGCACCAGTTCACTGATGTCCTTAATCATTAACATTATTTTCTTCCTGAGATCAAACAGCATTAGACATTCGTATGTATAACTGGCTTGACCAAATTGACAAAGCTTCAGCAAAAAAAACTTTAAAGTTGACATGTTATGTAAGAAATTAGTGTAATTGTGAAATGTTCTATACATTATCCAGTATATAAAAACTTTCTATATTGAGTATACATTATACAGATCATTCATATGTACATAAAATTTTAAAATAAAGGGAATTAAGAGCCTTGTTAATGAGATAAAGGTGGTGGTCTTACATAGCTGTTCTTTGAAGGTGTGGGAAATGGGGGCGGTCAGAGACCTTAATTTGAGTGTGGCATTCTTGCTTGGAAGAACACGTTGTGCAGGTCTTGACAGCCTGGAGCAGAACTCCTAAAGGGCTGGTAGTGGTACAGTGCAGGGTGTTTTGAAATACACTTCAGCCACTGACTTGCTGACATTCTCAGCTTCCTAGGAAACATTCTTGGCAGGAAGCAAGAGGAAACTAAGATGGATGGAAATATAAACAATAATTATTGCTTTCTCAGAAGAGATTATCATCTTGGGTTTAGGTATAATGAATTGATATGAGGTAAGAAACTTATCTGTGGCAAGCTTCCTGTTCTAGGTACTCTGAAACTGTACCACCCTGACTGACTTCAGCAGCTGTAGCTGGAACACCCTTCAGGTGAACACTCGGCTGTAGGCTCCAGGACAGAACTGGCTGCAGTCTCATCCTGAAGACTGAGCCAAACAGGGCGTCTTCTCTCCAAGCTCGAACACTATGCTAGGGGAATGGTTTGTTTGTTCATGCAAAAAGTAAACACTTGTATCTGTAAGTTAACCGTTGATCAACCCTGTATAAGTTGAAAAGCAACTGTCCTACCTTTATAGGAAGCAGAACTACCAAGGGCACAGTATGCTGTGATCTGCCTGGTTCTGTTACTATCTGAACAAGTTCTCTTGTAAGTCACTGATGTCAAAGAGGATTATTGAAGAAGCAGAGCTGAGGAACTCTCACCTTTGAGAACTTCACAAAGGTGTACTGGGCATAAATGGCAGAGCCTGTTTTGGCAGCAGAGGAGGCCATGAACTGCCCTGCGCCAGTCACTGCTGGTTCCAGCCAAAACTACAGCTCCTCAGAGGGGAAGGTGCCACCTGTGCTTAAATGTATTTAAGAAAGGGTGAGAGCAGCTGGGGCCAAGAGACAGGAGGAAGCTTGTGAGGATGCAGAAAGGGAGACACAAAAGGAAAGATGCAAGGGAAGACAAAAGGGGCACCTATAAGGAAAAACGTGAGGAGATGCGTTTGGAGAAACAAAATGGAGGAGTAGGAAGCAAGGAGTAGCAGACAACCCTGCTACATACTGACCCCAGCCTCCTGTGCTGCCCCTAGCCTCACTTGAGGGGAGGTGGGGGAAGGACTGAGTGGAGCATTAGTGAAAAGGAGGGCAGGTGCGAGCAGGAACTGGGGAGGAGAGCGGGTTGGACTGAGGCTGAGCTTTGGAAAGGGAAAAGAAAGGCATTGCCCTCAGTGTTTAGTTGTCATTTAATCAATAATTAAAAGTTTATCCTAGCTTGTGATAAACTAAATGGGGTGAAACTGCTGAGTCAAAACGGCTTTGCCCACACTACAAGGATAAAGAGGGCTTTGGCTCAAATAAAGCACATAGAGTCTGTTAGAGAACAGATTTTATTTAGTGTTACAAAGAACCCAGACAAATTCTGGTATTTACACAGCATTCAGCAAATTTTTAAAAGCAAGCCTCTGATTATTAAATATAATAATTGCAAGTAAAGAGCGAGAGAATGTGTATTGCTTCAAGCTAGAATAAAGTTTTTATATTCATCCAATTTTACCTTAAACAACATCATTGCACTGAACAAAATCTTCCCTAATTCTTCCATCCATTTGAGGTGGCTTTATGCCAACATTAGATTTTTGCAGTTAGCTTCTTTGACTGATCGAGCACTTCCCACCTTGCAATTGTTCCTCACCAGGCCTGTCTGCCAGGCACAAGGTCCGTATATAAGCAGACCTGTGTCAAACCTGAGCTGAATTAGGTGTAGATTTCTAACCCTGCCACAGCAGCAAGCCAGTCTGACAGCAGGAGTTCTCAGTGCTATTTTTGCTATAGCCATCCTTTTAACAATAGTCTCTTTGAAAAGAGCTATCACATGGGAGATACTGCAGCAAAATCGTCCTGGCAGGACTGAGATGTGTGGGCTGGAAAGTCAGGTGGCCTGCTTCTCCCCAGGCCATAAGGGGTAAGACTGAGCTTTAGAAACAGATCCTCTGTGCTGCCGATAAGAACTATTGTAGGTCCAGTGCCAGCCTTTTTTTTTTCTTTTTCTTTTTTTTAGGGTAAAGCAATTGCATTGGAATTGAATTACAAAAGCAATTGTTTCAAGTTTCATAGCTTAAAGGCATATGGACCATTATTTCAGGCTACCTGAGGTGAAACGGCATGTACTGGGTGTTACAAAACTACCTTAACAGGAATGCTTAGAATCTGCAGCTGCACCTCCCTTACTCACATAGAAGCCAAACGAAAATCCTGGGAAACTCCAGCTCCGCCACACACTTGGATTGCAGTGTCAGTCACTTTAAGCACAGCTCGAGGGACAATGACTTTGGTCACGGCTACCTGTAGTTAGAAGAGAACTCACATCATCAGTAACAGTTTCATAAGCAACTGAAAATATTTATCTAACAGTTCTACTGAACATTGGTATCTCGCAGTACATTCCTTCCTCCTTTGGACTGGGTGAGTGCTCTGCCGTTCCTGTTCCCTGGGTACGGACAGACAGTCACCCAAAGCTACCTCATTGTGTTGAGACAAATGAGCAATACCTGAACTTCTTTAATTTTAAATACTTTATCAGATTGATCTCAAAGTTTTAAACTGAGAACACTTTCCATTCTCGTGACAATCAAAAGCACATCTTAAGGCCATCTATTTTCAACATGAAGCTATGCTCTATGATCAGGAGGATAACTTTTAGCAATACGTTTTAGCTTATCTTTCAACCAGTTGAATGTACAGGTATTACATCCCATAGTCCTAGCTCTAAGGCTGGCAAAGAAAAACTTACCTCTTTTCTTGCTGGCTGTTTTTAGGGTAAGCAGTCAAGCCTGTTCTATGCTAAGGTGGCATTCGGCAACCCAGTGGGCAACAACTCCCTGCAGAAAGCAAAGCCAGCGAGCAGAAAGTCAGTTAATGCCTCCTAGTGTGTCTGGGTCAACCTGCCCTAAGGAAGACACCCTGATATCTCAGCATGTGCATGTTCAGCCATTTAGTGACACCCTCGTCCAAATTAAAACCAGTTTGATGCATGTAATCTAATACGAGGAAACAAAGAAAGAAAATGACTGACAGAAATAGTAGACAGAGCAGTTCTTTTCCTGGCAGGAAAGAGGATAAAGGGGAAAAAACCTGATTCTGGCACACTCTCATTTCCTGGTCAGACCCACTGCCTGCTAGCCATTTTCCTGAAGCCCTTCAGAGCCTGCTTTTTACTTCCTGCTTTCCTTTACCTGCTACCAGGACTCACAACCATCTGTCTGTGTAACGTGCCCCAGTATACAAAAACTGGGTGGGGTGAAAGAGGAGAGGGATCGGTTCTGTTCTGGTTTGTGTTACGCACCCAGGTGAACAGCTGCAGGGTGGTGCCTGCTGCATCTGTCTGTTCACACTGATGATAAATTAGTAGCTCCCTTGATCCAAAAGAAGTTATGGTCTTGGCAGCCCTTCCCTGCTCCTCTTAGCTAATTCCCCTCTGCTGCCAACATACCACAGTAGAAAAAAATGTTCATGTGATGCTTGTCAGTGCAAAAGCTGTTTGGAGCCTGAGCCAGCCTCGGGTACATGCTCCTGCCTGGAGTGTGGATGTTGTAGCCTTGGCAGCTGCAGGAGGCACGAGCAAACGTGCAGCACTCACTTCAGTGCAAAGTCTGGGGGCTCGGCTTAGCTCATGCCAGCAAAGGTGGTCTGAACCCGGGTGGAGGAGTTCAGACATGCTCCTCTGCCAACAGCTCTGGGGGGGGTTGTAACTAGGAGTTCAGACATGCTCCTCTGCCAACAGCTCTGGGGGGTTGTAACTACTGCCATGTGGGCGGTGGTGACAGTCAGCCTGTTACCCAAGGCAGCCAACAGCCTCACCTCTTCCTTAGCTAGCCTAGAGCTGTGAAGAACCTGCGCTGGCTATGCAGCTGGCCTCCAGGGCTTGCCTGTGGCTTCATCAAACATCGGTTTTCCTTTAACGACATGCTCCTCTGCCAACAGCTCTGGGGGGTTGTAACTACTGCCATGTGGGCGGTGGTGACAGTCAGCCTGTTACCCAAGGCAGCCAACAGCCTCACCTCTTCCTTAGCTAGCCTAGAGCTGTGAAGAACCTGCGCTGGCTATGCAGCTGGCCTCCAGGGCTTGCCTGTGGCTTCATCAAACATCGGTTTTCCTTTAACGAGCTTCTGAGAAATAGAGTGTGCCTCATCCAACTCATTAACTCTAGGTTGTGGTCGTGAATGGAAGTTTGGCAATGACATGACTGGAAAATGGATATGTAAGATTATTCCCCCTGGATCTGTACAAACAATTTTCTATAACCTATGCCAGACACTAATTCAATTTCCTCTTTCCGTTGCCTTTACTTGTTTTTTCCAATAAAGTAATCCTATCTGTTGGATAAGACTGAGGAACACTTGAAATGCGATAGGCCAACTACTAAATGCTGATGGTTCCTACAAAAAGCAGTCATCTTTTTTAGCATTGTAGCAAGCTCTCTCTCACAAAACAGTATTTCAATTCCAGAGCAAGATAAGACCGAAACATCCCAAAATGGCCTTGGGTTGGTCTGTACTTTTATAAGTAAGTACAAATAATTGAGCAAAGAAGTAAAATTTTTGGTCAAATTTAGACCCTTGAGTGTCTCCAGTAATGATGAATGGAGATGTCTAGGTGACAAATTCAATACACAAAAATGGTGAATTCAGATTGTAACTACATTGGCTTGCCAATGTGACACCCATCTACAAGAAGGGCCAGAAGGAGGATCCGGGGAACTACAGGCCTGTCAGCCTGACCTCAGTGCCGGGGAACATTGTGGAGCGGTTCATCTTGAGGGCGCTCACAAGGCATGAGCGGGACAACCAGGGGATCAGGCCCAGCCAGCACAGGTTC